TGACAGAACAACGAAATGACAGAGTGACAGAGCCACTGAAGAACAGTACAACTAACTAAAAGACCGACGAAATGACAGAGTGACAGAGCTACTAAATATCAGGACGATTTATTGACAGAGCGACGAAATGACAGAGTGACTGAGCCACTGAATCATTTGTCAGAGGCTAGAAAGCAGCAGCAGAGAGTCTTCCCAGTGGTCAACTAAAGCTCAAATGCAACGGGCTCCAAATTTGAGTGCGATCTTTAATTTGAGTCTCAGTCGCCCTATATAAAGGGCAGCAGCTGCAGCATTTCTTCAGTCGTCCAGCCACGGTGGGGATCAGCAGATCATGCAGTCCAGTGAAGTGAAGTGAAGTGTATAACGGATCAACGGACCGACAGAAAAGAGCAACAGATCGACAAAACGACAGTGCCACTGAAGAACAGTACAACTGACTAAAAGAGCGACGAAATGACAGAGTGACAGAGCCACTGAACAACAGGATGACTGACTGAAAGAGCGACGAAATGACAGAGTGACAGAGCCACTGAACAACAGTACAACTGACTGACAGAGCGACAAAATGACCGAGTCACAGAGTGACAGAGTCACTGAACAACAGGACGACTGAATGCCAGAGCGACAAAATGACTGAGTGACAGAGCCCCTGAACAACAGTGCAACTGACTGATAGATCGACAACATGACAGACTGACAGAATAAAAGAGCCACTGAACAACAATACAACAGACTGAAAGAGCGACGAAATGACAGAGTGACAGAGCCACTGAACAACAGTACAACTGACCGACAGAGCGACAAAATGACCGAGTGACAGAGTGACAGAGCCACTGAACCACAGTACAACTGATTGACAGAACAGAAATGACAGAGATTCTTCCCAGTGGCAGAGAGTCTTCCCAGTGGTCAACTAAAGCTCAAATGCAACGAGCTCAAAATTTGAGTGCGATCTTGAATTTGAGTCTCAGTCGCTCTATATAAAGGGCAGCAGCTGCAGCATATCTTCAGTCGTCCAGGCAGGGTGGGGATCAGCAGATCATGCAGTCCAGTGTTCTCGTATTCTCCTCCGGCACACATGAGCGCAATTACATATAGTTTAAGTATTAGCTATTGCACAGAGTGCTTTTCGCGGCGCGCGCACACCGGCAGCGAGGCGGACAGAACGGCAAGTCTGCGCACTCGAACAGTCAGCAGTGGAGTATGCGCCAGCCAATTGCCTGCCGTGAAGCGGCAGTTACAAATTCTCTCCTTCAGAATTCTCTTATACTTAATTCAAGGCATTACTTTCACGAAGCAACATATTTGAATTTAAATTACTGTATTTATCGCACTTTGATATCGATGTTGCTTGGCCCGATAACATATCGGATGCCCTAGTTGCTTTGTGTTTTGTGCTGCTTACGTTATGCTAATTTGCCTACAGTTTTTATTTATTTATTTACATTTTTTAGCGTATTGACCTATCCGACAATGGTCACACGCAGGCGCCATGCAGATGTGAGATATGTGAAATCAAAAGACTACGAAACAAGACAAAACTGCAAGACTTAACAGCTAACATAAATACAATTTACATAGATTATTTACTAATTCTCTCTCTTTTTTTCTTCTCTTTTCAGGTAATCGCTGGAATCCATGAGGGTCGAATTGGGATGGGGCATCGAGCTGCAGTTCTCATCTGCTGATCGTCGTCAAGTGTAGTGTTGGAGAGGGGGGAAGAACAGCCAGTCCAGCTGTCTCACCCCCTCCCGTCTGTGGCGCCATCCAGTTGTTGCAGTGGGCATGGGTGAGTACAGCATATGCATTAGCTTGCATACGTATGTACATTTGTGTGAATTGCAGTGAAGAAGAAATAGAAATATTTCATTAGTGGTGCAATAATAAAATAATATTATTATACTCATTCACGAAAGTGAATCAGTATATTGGTTTTGTGCAATGTCCGTCTTGCTGTCCGTCCGTCTGTCCGTCTGTCCGTCCGTCCGTCTGTCCGTCTGTCCGTATGAACGCAATCTATTTCGGCGCTATTGAAGCTAGAGACTTGAAATTTGGAGCACATACTCGTGTATATCTCCGATTTATAAAGTGTTAAAATTTTCCCGATCCGCCCACTAGGGGCGTGGCAAATCGGAAAATGCATTTTCCGATATACCAGAAATCATGTTTGTTGAAGAGCTAGAAAGCTGAAATTTGGTATGTAGGTCTGCGTTGACCACCCAAGATTACGAGCTATGGCGGATATATCTACGCCCATTGGGGGCGTGGCAAATCGGATAAAACTGTATCTCCTAAAGTTGTAAACCTAGAATGCTGAAATTTTGCACGTCAGCTAATGGTATGATTCTATAAAGTCTGAAGATAAATTACAAGTCTACGCCCATTGGGGGAGTGGCAAATCGGACCTGAAGATATAGTGATTTTTTAAATTCTCCTATATTTTGGACACTATTGATGGCAGAGACCTCAAATGTTGTATATATACTCGGACTGATCACCCAAGACCAAAAGTTTTGTCGGATATATGTCCGCTCAGGGGGCGTGGCAAACCGCAAAAGTTTATATCTCCTAAAGTATAATAGCTAGAAGCTTCAAATTTGGATAGTTGAGTTACTGGTAGCCTCCTCTATCGATTCCCCAAAACTAATCTTTACGCCTCTTTAGGGGCGTGGCATATCGAAAAATACCCTGTAATTTTCACATTTTTTGAGGGTAAGCATTCAAAATTTGCAGTTAGGGTACCGTTATCTCTTTCTAAAACTGACCAAAAATGAGGTGTCTACGCCCAGTTGGGGCGTGGCAAATCGGAAAAACCTACAGTATTAGAGCGAAACTTAACTACTAAATTGTTGATGGGATGTGAATGAGTATTCCGCAGTCGGTAACGCCCGACTGCAACGTTCTTACTTGTTTTGCTTTGTTTTTGTTTGTTTGTTTATTTGTTTTTGCAATAATAAAATGAAATTATATATATATATATATATATATATATATATATATATATATATATATATTCTTTTTATACCCTGAACCCATTTTCAATGGGAAATCAGGGTATAATGGTTTTGTTGAAATGTATGTAACAGGCAGAAGGAGGCGTGGCAGACCCTAAAAAGTATATATATTCTTGATCAGGGCGACGAGCTGAGTTGATTTGGCCCTGTCCGTCTGTCTGTCCGTCTATCCGTCTGTCCGTCCGTCCGTCTGTCCGTCTGTCCGTATGTATGAACGCGTCGATTTCAGAAGATATAAGAGCTAGAGACTTCAATTTTTTTTTTAAATGTTCGTAATTACAGCGCGCATATCAAGTTTATCATTAAAAATCGATAACTCATCCCGATCTTTTTTTATCGATAAAAAACCTTATCGAAAACCAGTTATAAAATTATATCTTCTACACCTTTATTGCTAGAGTCTCCAAATTTTTAATGTATGCCTATATGCAATTTATACAATTTCGGTTTTTGTTAAAATTTACCCCCCACCCTTAAATTCACCCCCTCACCCTCACTTTTGTAAAAGCGTATTTCAAATACTAGAGACTTGTGCTTTGGCAATTACATGCATATCCATGTCATAATCATAATCTGAAAGTTTCATGAAGATCGTACGTCCACAAAAAAAGTTATTAAGCAATTAAGTTCTCATAGTAAGCGCTCACTGCCGCCCATGCGTGTTTATGCTTGTGTGTGTATATGTATGTAATTGTTTGTGTATGTGTGTGTGTGTGTGTGTGTGTGTGTGTGTGTGTGTGTGTGTGTGTGTGTATGTATGTGTGTGTATGTATGCCTGTGTGTGCGTGCGTGCGTGTATTTTATGTATATATATTTTTTCCTTTTTTTTCAATATTGATTTGCTGTTTTTATTATTATTATTTTTTATACCCTGAACCCATTTTCAATGGGAAATCAGGGTATAATGGTTTTGTTGATATGTATGTAACAGGCAGAAGGAGGCGTGGCAGACCCCACAAAGTATATATATTCTTGATCAGGGCGACGAGCTGAGTTGATTTGGCCCTGTCCGTCTGTCTGTCCGTCTGTCCGTCTGTCCGTCTGTCCGTCCGTCCGTCTGTCCGTCTGTCCGTATGTATGAACGCGTCGATTTCAGAAGATATAAGAGCTAGAGACTTCAAATTTTGTTTAAAATGTTCGTAATTACAGCGCGCATATCAAGTTTATCATTAAAAATCGATAACTCATCCCGATCTTTTTTATCGATAAAAAACCTTATCGAAAACCAGTTATAAAATTATATCTTCTGCACCTTTATTGCTAGAGTCTCCAAATTTTTAATGTATGCTTATATGCAATTTATACAATTTCGGTTTTTGTTAAAATTTACCCCCACCCTTAAATTCATCCCCTCACCCTCACTTTTGTAAAATGCTTATTTCAAATACTAGAGACTTGTGCTTTGGCAATTACATGCATATCCATGTCATAATCATAATCTGAAAGTTTCATGAAGATCGTACGTCCACAAAAAAGTTATTAAGCAATTAAGTTCTCATAGTAAGCGCACACTGCAGCCCATGCGTGTTTATGCGTGGTTGCTTGTATGTGTATGTGTGTGTGTATGTGTGTGTGTATGTGTGTGTGTGTATGCGTTGTGTCTGTATGCTGTGTGTGTGTGTATGTGTGTCTGTATGTGTGTGTGTGTATGTATACCTGTGTGTGTGTGTGTGTGTGTGTGTGTGTGTGTGTGCGTGTTTCTTGTGTAAGCTGAAAGTCGCGAAAAAGTATTGAAATATCTATTGCTCCAAGGGTTCAGGGGATCTCGTAGTCGAGCAGTCTCGACTAGAGCTTTCTTACTTGTTTTTTTCTCATTTTTGATTTTTCTTGTTTCAGGGTCGTTAATTGGTGTCTTCTGTGGATGCTTGGCCGTTTTGAAGATAAGTGCATTTTGTGTTGTTTTCTGTTTTGTTGTTTAAATTTGTTAATTTGTGAGTTCTTTTTATTTTTCTCATTTCAGCTTATTAACATCTCTAGGGGCAGATAGAAGCGTCGTCAATCATCCTCGTCGAATTTTTGGCCGTTTTGCAGGTAAGTGTATATTTTTAATTTTTGCTAGTTTTAATATTGTCATTAATTAGATGATTTTTTTAATTTTTCTCATTGCAGGTAAGCTTATTAACATCTCTAGGGGCAGATAGAAGCGTCGTCAATCATCTTCGTCGAATTTTTGGCCGTTTTGCAGGTAAGTGTATATTTTAAATTTTTGCTAGTTTTTATATTGTTATTAATTAGATGATATTTTTAATTTTTCTCATTGCAGGTAAGCTTATTAACATCTCTAGGGGCAGATAGAGGCGTCGTCAATCATCCTCGTCGAATTTTTGGCCGTTTTGCAGGTAAGTGTATATTTTACATTTTTGCTAGTTTTAATATTGTTATTAATTAGATGATCTTCTTAATTTTTTTCATTGCAGGTAAGCTTACTAACATCTCTAGGGGCAGATAGAAGCGTCGTCAATCATCCTCATCGAATTTTTGGCCGTTTTGCAGGTAAGTGTATATTTTAATTTTTGCTAGTTTTTATATTGTTATTAATTAGATGATTTTATAAATTTTTCTCATTGCAGGTAAGCTTATTAACATCTCTAGGGGCAGATAGAAGCGTCGTAATCATCCTCGTCGAATTTTTGGCCTTTTTGCAGGTAAGTGTATATTTTAAATTTTTGCTAGTTTTAATATTGTTCTTAATTAGATGATTTTTTTAATTTTTCTCATTGCAGGTAAGCTTATTGGCATCACAAATGTTGATGTAAGCTACCTAGTACATTGCTACGCTCGTTGGCGTAGTTTTACTAGTAGTTGTGGAGCTGGTACGCCAGCTTGATGACGTCATCGCTGAGACCTCCTCGCACTCGTCGCTGAGGTCCATCAGCTCTCGGAGGTCAACCTCTTCGCGCCTTGGAGTCCTCTGCTGCATTGGCTCACCTGCATTCATGACTTGTTTTTGTTTGTTTGAGTTCAATAAAGTAATAACTATAGTCATAATTTGTTCAATTTGTTTCTCCAGCCTCTCGAACATGGCCTTATTTTGTTCAAGTAGCTCTTCAAGGCTACTTGACTTGGCTTGCTCGTCCTTTAACTTCTGTTGCAGCCTAGCCAAGTGCCTTGATGCTGGATTACGTCCATTGGATACAGTTGTTGTTGTTGTTGGGCGTTTCTCTTTGTGGTTTATTGAGTATCGCTGTGTGTTAGTGGTGCGGTTGGTGGGCTTTGTGATTGGTGTTTGGGGTTGCTGTTGTTGGTGGTGTCGTCGCGTCTGTCTTTGTCGTTGTAGTTGTTGTTGTTGTTGCTGGTTTTGCTGTTGGTGTTGCGGCAGTGGCTTTGTTGTTTTATACGATCCATGCACCACGCTACTGTATGTCAGCTTGCGCTTTGTGCCTGGATTTATTGGCGTCTCTTTTGTGCGTTGCTGTTTTTGTCGCAATTGATGTTGCTGCTGTTGTAGCTTTGGTTGCTGCTGTTGTTGTTGCCGCTGCTCAGTCTGTGGTCGATCTTGGCGCAGTTGTTGGTGTTGCTGTTGTTGTTATTGTTGTTGCTGTTGCTGCAGCTCGTTTGTCGGTAAGTACCTTACAGCTAGTAGCCTATTTTGTATTTCTTTGTATTTAGGGCAGCCTTTATAGCAGCATACATGTGCACCTCCACAGTTGAAGCACTTTGCGGGTGCATCTCGTGCTTTGGTGCACTCAGTGGATGCATGAGAGCCGGCACATTTCATGCATCTGTATGGGCGTCGACAGTAGTTCTTAGTGTGTCCGAACGCCTGGCATCGATGGCACTGGGCCGGATCGATGGCCTTCGCCTGCCTCTCAACTAGCACCTGTTGATTGCTGATCGTATCGAGTTCACATATCTTGAGATGGCTGCCATCGGGCATTGGCTGCAGCTCAACCTCAAAGACGTTTAGTGGCATGCCGGTGAACCGATGCCTCATGGCACGTATGAAACGTACCGCGAAGCCCAGCTCCGACAGCTTGACCCTCAGCCAGTCACAGGGTGTCGAGTGGTGTAGTTTTTTGATTACCACTCGATATCCTTTCTGATGGTGTGACTGGTGGGTGTACATCTGTACGTTCTCAGCAGTCAGGAAATCTACAATGGCTCTGTGTGTGGCCATATCATCGCTGTATATAGTGACGCCAGCACAACAACAATACAACTGACTGACATAGTGACGAAATGACTTTGTGACGGAGCCACTGAACAACAATACAACTGACTGACATAGTGAAGAAATGAGAGAGTGACAGAGCCACTGAACAACAGGACGACTGACTGACAGAGCGACGAAATGACAGAGTGACGGAGCCACTGAACAACAGGATGACTGACTGACAGAGCGACGAAATGACCGAGTGACAGATTGACAGAGTCACTGAACAACAGGACGACTGACTGACAGAGCGACGAAATGACAGAGGGACTGAGCCACTGAACAACAGGACGTCTGGCTGACATAGGACGTCTGGCTGACATAGTGACTAAATGACAGAGTGACTTAGCCACTGAACAACAATACAGCTGACTGACAGAGCGACAAAATGACAGAGGGTCAGACCCACTGAACAACAGGACGACTGACTGACAGAGCGACGAAATGAGAGAGTGACAGAGCCACTGAACAACAGGACGACTGACTGACAGAGCGACGAAATGACAGAGTGACGGAGCCACTGAACAACAGGATGACTGACTGACAGAGCGACGAAATGACAGAGTGACTGAGCCACTGAAAAACAATAAAACTGACTAAAAGAGCGACGAAATGACAGAGTGACAGAGCCACTGAAAATCAATAAAACTGACTAAAAGAGCGACGAAATGACAGAGTGACAGAGCCACTAAACAACAGGACGACTGACTGACAGAGCGACAAAATAACTGAGTGACAGAGCCACTAAGCAACAATACAACTGACTGACAGAGCGACAAAATGACACAGTGACAGAGCCACTAAACAACAGGATGACTGACTGACAGAGCGACGAAATGACAGAGTGACAGAGCCACTGAAAAACAACAAAACTGACTAAAAGAGCGACGAAATGACAGAGTGACAGAACAACTAAACAACAGGATGACTGATTGACAGAGCGACGTAATGACAGAGTGACAGAGCCACTGTACAACAGGACGACTGACTGACAGTGCGACAAAATGACAAAATGACAGAGTCACTGAAAAACAGTACAACTGACTGACAGAGCGACGAAATGACAGAGTGACTAAGCAACTGAATCATTTGTCAGTTATATTTCAGTAAAAATAAGCTAGAAAGCAGCTGCAGAGAGTCTTCCCAGTGGTCAACTAAAGCTCAAATGCAACGGGCTCCAAATTTGAGTTCGATCTTTAATTTGAGTCTCAGTCGCCCTATATAAAGGGCAGCAGCTGCAGCATTTCTTCAGTCGTCCAGGCACGGTGGGGATCAGCAGATCATGCAGTCCAGTGAAGTGAAGTGAAGTGTATAACGGATCGACTGACCGACAGAAGTGACTGAGCAACAGATCGACAAAACGACAGAGCCACTGAACAACAGTACAACTGACCGACAGAGCGACAAAATGACCGAGTGACAGAGTGACAGAGCCACTGAACAACAGTACAACTGATTGACAGAGCAACGAAATGACCGGCTGACAGAGCCACTGAACAACAGTACAACTGACTGACAGAGCGAAAAAATGACCGAGTTACAGAGTGACAGAGCCACTGAACCACAGTACAACTGATTGACAGAGCAACGAAATGACCAGACTGACAGAGCCACTGAACAACAGTACAACTGACTGACAGAGCGACGAAATGACAGAGTGACAGAGCCACTGAACAACAGGATGACTGACTGACAGAGCGACGAAATGACAGAGTGACTGAGCCACTGAATCATTTGTCAGAAGCTAGAAAGCAGCAGCAGAGAGTCTTCCCGGTGGTCAACTAAAGCTCAAATGCAACGAGCTCAAAATTTGAGTGCGATCTTGAATTTGAGTCTCAGTCGCCCTATATAAAGGGCAGCAGCTGCAGCATTTCTTCAGTCGTCCAGGCACGGTGGGGATCAGCAGATCATGCAGTCCAGTGTTCTCGTGTTCTCCTCCGGCACACATGAGCGCAATTATATATAGTTTAAGTATTAGCTATTGCACAGAGTGCTTTTCGCGGCGCGCGCCTACCGGCAGCGAGGCGGACAGAACGGCAAGTCTGCGCACTCGAACAGTCAGCAGTGGAGTATGCGCCAGCCAATTGCCTGCCGTGAAGCGGCAGTTACAAATTCTCTCTTTCAGAATTCTCTTATACTTAATTCAAGTCATTACTTTCACGAAGCAACATATTTGAATTTAAATTACTGCATTTATCGCACTTTGATATCGATGTTGCTTGGCCCGATAACATATCGGATGCCCTAGTTGCTTTGTGTATTGTGCTGCTTACGTTATGCTAATTTGCCTACAGTTTTCTAGTATTTTTTTTCAGCATTCTTTAGCTTATTGACATATCCGACAATGGTCACACACAGGCGCCATGCAGAAGTGTGATATGTGAAATCAAAAGACTACGAAACAAGACAAAACTGCAAGACTTAACAGCTAACATAAATACAATTTACATAGATTATTTACTAATTCTCTCTCTTTTTTCTTCTCTTTTCAGGTAATCGCTGGAATCCATGAGGGTCCAATTGGGATGGGGCATCGGGCTGCAGTTTCATCTGCTGATCGTCGTCAAGTGTAGTGTTGGAGAGGGGGAAGAACAGCCAGTCCAGCTGTCTGACCCCTCCCGTCTGTGGCGCCGACCAGTTGTTGCAGTGGGCATGGTGAGTACAGCATATGCATTAGCTTTGCATTACGCATAACTATTCTCACAATTATACATATCAAGAATCAAGTATGTACATTTGTGTGAATTGCAGTGAAGAAGAAATAGAAATATTTCATTAGTGGTGCAATAATAAAATAATATTATTTTGCTTTGTTTTTGTTTGTTTGTTTTTGCAATAATAAAATGAAATTATATATATATATTTTTTTTTTTTTTTTTTATATTTTTTTTTTGTATATATATTTTTTCCCTTTTTTTTCAATATTATTGATTTGCTTTTTATTTTTTTGTTTTTATTTTTATTTTTTTTTTTCTCATTTTTGATTTTTCTTGTTTCAGGGTCGTTAATTGGTAGTCTTCTGTGGATGCTTGGCCGTTTTGAAGATAAGTGCATTTTGTGTTGTTTTCTGTTTTGTTGTTTGTTGTTTAAATTTGTTAATTTGTGAGTTCTTTTTTTTTCTCATTTCAGGTAAGCTTATTAGCATCTCTAGAGGCAGATAGAAGCATAGTAGATCTTCCTCGTCGAATTTTTGTCCGTTTTGCAGGTAAGTGTATATTTTAAATTTTTGCTAGTTCTAATATTGTTATTAATTAGATGATTTTTTTAATTTTTCTCATTGCAGGTAAGTTTATTAACATCTCTAGGGGCAGATAGGAACGTCATTGGTCATCCTCGTCGAGTTTTTCGCCGTTTTGCAGGTAAGTGTATATTTTAAATTTTTGCTAGTTTTAATATTGTTATTAATTAGATGATTTTTTTTAAATTTTTCTCATTGCAGGTAAGTTTATTAACATCTCTAGGGGCAGATAGGAACGTCATTGGTCATCCTCGTCGAGTTTTTTGGCCGTTTTGCAGGTAAGTGTATATTTTAAATTTTTGCTAGTTTTTATATTGTTATTAATTAGATGATTTGTTTAATTTTTCTCATTGAAGGTAAGCTTCTTAACACTCTAGGGGCAGATAGAAGCGTCGTCAATCATCCTCGTCGAATTTTATGCCGTTTTGCAGGTAAGTGTATATTTTAAATTTTGCTAGCTCTAATATTGTTATTAATTAGATTATTTTTTTTTAATTTTTCTCATTGCAGGAAAGTTTATTAACATCTCTAGGGGCAGATAGGAACGTCATTGGTCATCCTCGTTGAGTTTTTGGCCGTTTTGCAGGTAAGTGTACA